ACTTCCCTTCATTCTTTTCCCTTCATTCTTAAAAGTTTAGTTCAAAGGTTAAGTCTTCCCGGTGTATCCTTCTTCCCCTTATATGCACAAAGTTACTTGCTCCCCCCTTGGTGCTACTCCAAGAATGTAGTTCACACCTCTGACAGCAAGTGGCGTCATCATGCCCTAACTACCTGCTTGGCCCCAGCGCCAGATGTACCGCCGCAGTGGACAGCAGCGGCCATTTGTGCAGCCCTGAGACCCAGGGCAGGGTCCAGTCCCTAGTAGGTGTTCGACACCCTCATGTTTGTTAAACCGAAACATTGGTTTTGCTTTGCTTCTGGTTCTTTGTTGGCTGTAGTGGATGACCATGTGAGATACCCAAATAACACAACTGAAGCTATGTGTAGAATCGCTACGCCGTAAGGCACTGTCGCTAAACTGCCCATTTAACTCTTTTAACTCTATTTTGGAGCAGTTTGTTAACCTTAGACTTTTGACTGCAGATTGAACCAATTAGCTACAGCTGGAGGGAAAATTAAAAAGTAATCACCAAAATTATCTTTATCTAATGTTCTTGGTAAAGGAAAGTATGTCGCATTCCAAGAAGGGAATCTTTTGCCCGGTTCACTTTTTGGTTTAAGGATTCATGTTTAGCAAAATCCTAGTTCTTCTCTGCACTTGGAAAGAAATAAATGCCTTTTTTCTTCCCTTTTGGACTATATGTGACTACAAAAGTGGTGGTTATCCTTGACTGCCATGGTCCAGCAGAAATTTTCATTTGAGCCACAAATGTGAGCCACATATGTAATTTTAAATTTCTAGTGGCCACACTTAAAAATATGAGAAGCAACAAGTGAAATTAATTTTAATAACATACGATTATATTGAAAATGTTCTGTACCCAGTTTCTGGTGTGGGTGAGAGGGGAGGAAGTTCCCCGTACCAGCAAGCAATTCTCAGACACCAGCAGGGTATCTGAGAATTCAATTTGGTCTCCCTGAAGATGGCATCAGATCCCACAGGCGAAGGGCTCAACCCACAAGACCACCCTCCACTTCTGATGCCGGTCGCAAGCCAAGGTTGTTACCTGTGCTTCTGACCAACTGGCTACATACATATTAGAGGTTCCCATGACCCCCTCCTTGGGTCCAATTAATTTGCAAGAGCAGCTCACCGAACTCAGGAAATGTATTTGTTTACCAGATTACCAGTTTATTATAAAAGGATGCAACTCAGAAATAGCCAGATGGAAAAGATGCATTGGGCAAGGTAGGGGGAAAGGATGTGGAGATCCCATGTCTTGCCCAGGCGCGCTGCTTTTCCCCAAATCTCCATGTATTCACTAACCTGGAAGCATTCCGAACGCCATTCTTTTGGGTTCTTATGGAGGCTTCATCATATAGGCATGATTGATTGAATCATTGGCCTTTGGTGATGGCTTCAACCTCTGGCTCCTCTTTCCTTGTGAATCAGAGACAGGACTAAAAATGCCAACCCTCAATCAGTGGGTTGGTTCCCCTGCAACCAGCCCCATCCCCACCAGTGCTCTAAATTCACCTTGTTAACATAACAAAAGGCACCTGTATAGTTCTCATCACCTAGGAAATTCCAAGGGTTTTAGGAGCTCTGTGACAGACACAGGACAAAAACCAAATATATGTATTTCTTATTTTAAATCACAGTATCTATCACAGTATTTAACCCCATCCATCCAAATATTATCCTTTAATATGCAATCGATGTAAACTTACATTCATGTGATATTTTACATTCATGTTTGTACTAAGTCTTTGAAATCCAGCGTGCATTTTACATTGAACAGCACATTGCCATTCAACCTTAAATAGCCAGTCACCACCATATCGGACAGACCGTTCTAGTTAGCTAACATTCGTTGAGATTTTCTGTGTGCTGCAAGCTCTGCCTGCATTCTGTCAATTAATTTGCACACCTCTGCAGTCGATGCTGTTGGACTCTTTTTACAAATAAGCAAACTGAAGGGCGCCTGGGTGGTTCAATCAGGATGAGCGTGGACTATTGATTCTGGCTCAGGTCATGATCCCAGGGTCGTAGGATCAAGCCGGGGAGTCGGGCTCCGCACCGAGCATGGCACCTGCTTTGGATTCTCTCTCTCTCTCTCTCTCTCTGTCTCTTGCTCTCTTCCCCTGTCTTTCTCTGTTCAATAAATAATAACAAAGCCAACTGAGGCTTAAAGAGCTTAATTATTTGCCTGAGGACAGCTAGTGGGTGTGGTGGAGCTGGGCCTGGGCCACGGGGCTTTGACTTCAAAATAGTGTACTGAACTAAAATGAGAGCCATCACAAGAGGCAGCCTGACAGATTCTGAAGCATTTACGAGAGGATATTGAAGATTAGACGCAGGGGTGGAGGCTGCTTAACAGCAGGTCACAAGGTGTCTGGAAACAGTTTGAAAGAGGGAACTTTTTTTTTTTTTTTTCAGGAGGAGGATACATTTTGAAGCAAACTGTTGGGCGAAGGAGCACTATTACTTTACCCATTAAGACACTACCACCCAGATCCCATGTAGCTCATTTTTTCCCTGCCAGGATGTCTGTTTGGCAACCATTCGATTGCCACATACTTAGAACAGAGACTTCTCTTCCTTCCATTTTAAACTTCCATCTGCTACAAGAAGTTTGGGTAAAAGTATATGCTACAGTGACTGGTACGAATTAAGGCTAGAGTCTCTGAACAACCCTGATGCCATGGCTTTGTTGTAAAGGTCTGTAAAATATTATCCTGGTCTCATGGATTATACAAATGGGCACAAATGGCAGCTTCCTCCTTTTCCTTCACACGGTGTTAAAAATGAGTAAAATATGTTTCCCATTGCACTTCCCTTGTCCTTGCAGACTCAGGGAACTCATTCTAAGTTTCCACGTCTTTGTAGAAATATTTTGTTTTTACTGAAATATGTTTTTGATCAAGAACATAATCTCACGATTGCGTATATGTTTCTGAAACAAGTATGTATATGGAACAAGTGCACGGAGGGGGACTAGGGCTCTGGTGGCTGGTCCCAGGACTGGGCATTCTTGAGTCTAACCTCAGCCTTACCACTAATTTGGTAGATGATCTGAAGAGAAGGAACCAACCTCTGCCCTTCCTAATCAATCTCTTGTTCTGTTACTCTCATTTCTGAAGAATTGGAACACAATTTGACCCAGGTCAGTAATTTCATCGAAAGAAGAAATTATTCAACTCTTGAATTCTTGAGATGTCATAGACTCCAGGCAAGCTCCGCAACAGTGTTAATTCTTTATGACACGTTTGAATGTGTGGCTCATTTTTCCGCACATGTTACCTGAATATTGAGTTAGACGGTCTTGCTCACCTACCCCCATCCTGCACCGTAAACTTTGTGAGGCAGGTAGAAGAAGATATAATCCCATAATACACTAATAACAATAATGAATTATAGTTAGAGAAACCCTTTTCTGGGTGCTTTATGAACTGCTTTACACACATCTAATTTAATGCCGATGGCAGTAGATGTAGACACAATCTCCATGTTATGAATGAGAACACTAGCTTGCCCAAAGTGGCTGAGTCAGGACCTGAATCAAGGTGAATGTAATCTCATCAATGCTTGTAACCAGTAGGCTATACACTCCCACTAATAAGAAGATATTCCAATCCTGTGCCAGATTTACAGGACTAGTTGTTGGTAGTTTCGTAATGAAAAGCCAGAGCTCTCAGCTCTCATACCAGTAAGTTTACTGTTGTGTTACAACTTACTCACACTTGTAGTGCTTCAGGAAAGGAAAAAGCAAATCAGTAAAAACGGCAAATCCTTGCTTTAATCTTTCTCTAGCTTTTAAAATTACTCCTATTATCGTTTTTGTTTGTTTAATTGAGGTGAAATTCACATAACGTGAAATAAACTATGTTTTAAGTGAACAATTCAGCAACATTCGATACCTTCACAAGGTTGTATAACCACCAAGTCTACCTAATTCCAAAATATTTTTATAATTCTAGAATAAAACCCCCTACCCAGTAAAAGGTTTCTCCCCATTCTGCATGCCTCCAGCCCCCGGAAAACATCAATCTGCATCCTGTCTCTACGGATTTAGCTGTTCTGGAACATTTCATGTAAACGGAATCATACAATATGGGACCTTTTGTAGCTGGCTTCTTTCATTTAACAATGTTTCCAAGCTTTCTCCACATTGTGGCAGGTATCACTTCATTACTTTTTATGGCTAACTAATATTCCACTGCATGGATAGAACACTGTTTTTCCATTCATTCGTTGATGGAGGTTTGAGCTGTCTCCACCTTTGGCTATTGTGAATAGTGTTACTGTAAACATGCATGTACATGTACTTGAGTACCTGTTTTCACTACTTTTGTCTGTAAAGGAATAGAGTTGTGGGCTCACATGATATCTCTATGTTCAACTTTTGGAGGAACTGTCAAACTTTTCCACATCAGCCGAAGCATTTTACATTTCAACCAGCAATGTAAAGTGTTCCTGTTTCTCCACATCCTTGCTGATACTTATTTGGTTTTTCATTCTTACAGCTAGGCTGGTGTATGTCAAATTGTACCACAGTGTGATTTTTGTTTACATTTCCCCAGTGATTACTAATGTTGAGCATCTTTTCATGTGCATGTTGGCCCTTTAAATATCTTTTTTAGAGAAATGTCTATCTGATGTTCTTGGCCATTTTTTATTGGTTTCTTTGACTTTCTGATGTTGAGTTGTAAGAATTACTTACATGTTATGGATACCGCATTTTGTCAGGTGTATGATTTGAAAATATTTTCTTCATCCATTTTTCTTTTGCTGCTCATATCTTGGGTGTCATTATCTAAGAATCCATCGCCAAATTTAAGACCAGGCAGATTTTACCTGTATATTTTCTTCTAAGAATTTGATGGCTCTAGCTCTTATATTTAGGCCATTAACTCATTTTGAGTTTCTTTTTGTGTGTGGTGGCAGGTAGGGTTCCTGTTTACTCTTGTTTACTCTTCTTTTTTTTCCCTTCCTAGGAACCCTTGGAAGCAAAGGACTACACATCTTTAACCTGACTTCTCTAACCAAGTCTGAAAACATTTTATCTGCCACACTGTATTTCTATATTGGAGAGCTAATAAACATCAGCCTGAGTTGTCCAGCATCCCGAGGATGCTCACCTCATGCTCAGAGGAAACACGTTCTGATTGATCTCTCTGCGTGGATCCTCAAATCTGACAGAAACCAAAGTCAACACCTCGGTCACCTTTCAGTAGATGTAGCCAAATCTCATCGAGACCTTGGGTCCTGGCTGTCTAAAGACATCACTCAGCTCTTGAGAAGGGCCAAGGAAAATGAAGAGTTCCTCATAGGATTTAACATTACCTCCAAAGGACACCAGCTGCCAAAGAAGATGTTGCCCTTCCCCGAGCCTTATATCTTGGTGTATGCCAACGATGCTGCCATTTCTGAGCCGGAGAGTGTGGTATCAAGCTTGCAGAGGCACCGGAATTTCCCCATTGGAGCTGTGCCTAGACCGGACGGCCATATCAAGGCTGCCCTTTCTACCGAACGGAGAAGGAAGCGCTCGGCTGGGGTCCTGCTGCCTCTGCAGAACAACGAGCTTCCTGGGGCAGAATATCAGTATAGGGAGGATGGGGTATGGGAGGAGAGAAAGCCTTACAAGACCCTTCAGACTCAGGCCCCAGAGAAGACTAAAAACAAAAAGAAACAGAGAAAGGGACCCCCCCAGAAGAGCCAGACTCTCCAGTTTGATGAGCAGACCCTGAAGAAGGCCAGAAGAAAGCAATGGATTGAACCGCGCAATTGTGCCAGGCGGTACCTTAAAGTGGACTTTGCGGATATTGGCTGGAGTGAATGGATCATCTCCCCCAAATCCTTCGATGCCTATTATTGCTCCGGAGCATGCCAGTTCCCCATGCCAAAGGTAGCCGTTGTTCTCTGTCCTATACTTCCTGTTTCCGTAGAGGAGAAAGACACACTGACCGAGAGTGTGTTTTCATTTACGAAATCCATCTGGACACTTATTTATTGCCTTCTGACATGTACTAGGCAAGAATGGTTACGCTTGGTTTTTCTTTAATGGTTGCTAAGGTGATATGAAGTCAGTATCGGTATGAGGAAGGATATGAGAAAAAATGTAAAATATGTGTTTTGTGCTTCTTCCAAACACAGTGCAATCAGCCATGTGGTCTACTCAGCTGGGGGCAAATCTGTATCTGCCCACAATAAGCAAGCCGCAAACGACAGAAGGCTGATAATTGGAGAGGATATTCAGAGAATGACTAGATGTCATGGGGAAAAGGAAGGGAAAGGACTAATTGCATCGATGCCCTGTGCAGAATTTTTTGACAAATAGTTTCTCATGAGATGAACTGGCCCCACCAGAGTCAGGATCAGGGTTGGGCCAGGTAAACTCACCTCATGAAATCCACCAGATGCTTATTTCATTTGCTTCCCTAATAAACATCAAAAACAAAGGTAACATAGGGTATGTGGACTCTATAAGCTTCTTCCAAAATTTACTTCATCCGGTCAGAGCTTACCTGTGTCTCTTCCAAAATCAGTGGAAACTGTACTGTATCGTATCAGTACTCAGTATCCTGACGAATATATTCTCAGAAGCCTCCCCAATCCCACCACTGCCTTGCACAGCAAATCCAAGTGACTATTTTCTTTGAATTTAGAGTTAGTAAAGTACAGTGGTGCCCTCTGGCCTTCAGTTAGGCTTATCTCTGAACCTCTATTCTTAGCTTATAACGGTTTGAATCTCTGACATACAATGAAAAGGGGCTGTAGGAATAGAATTCAGAGAAAGAATAGAGATGGTGTTTTTTTGTTCTTTTTCTCAAAACTTGAGGGGAATCAACTTTTGCTGTTGCATAATAACAGAGAAAAAAATCTTTTGCCTCAAAGAGTGAGCAACTTCTACCTATAGATCTTTACATTATCATGTTCATGTTCTAGTGTCATGCTCATTGGGATGTTTAATGGAACACATGCATAAAGGTCTGGCCGAACAAAAGCAGGTCAGCCTCTGGGCCAGTAACTTGATTGGAATCGCGTTTTCTTCTTAGAATGTCTCAGAAGAAAAAGTTTTCTACATCTTCTAAGACTTGTCTCTCCCAAGGATTTTTGTCGACTCCATGTTCTTTAAATCTAAACACAAAATAAGAATTATATACATTTACTATGATATAAACAGCCTTATCTTGTCTAAGTATTCATAAAGGGTATATCACTGTCAAACAAAATTTTGCCAATTGGGACAGCATTTATTTTTTTTTAATTTTCTTTAATGTTTAGTTATTTTTGAGAGAGAGAAAGACAAAGCCATGAGGGGGGAGGGACAGAGAGAGAGGGAGACAGAATCCGACGCAGGCTCCAGGCTCTGAGCTGTCAGCACAGATCCTGACACGGGGCTTAAGCTCACAAAACATGAGATCCTGACCTGAGCTAAAGTTGGACACTTAACCAATTGAGCCACCCAGACGCCCCGGGATAGCATTTCAAAACAGACCACAAAGATGCAGAATGTTAACAGTGATGAATCTTTATAGTGTGGGTTGCTTTGTGGCATTGAGAGACAAAATGAATTCTCAATCTGTCTCTGAACCCAGGATGACTGATTTTAAGTGGGTCTGTGAGTTTTCCAAATAATCTCTCACACTCGTAAACTGTAATTTCTTCTATGTAGCCTAGGGAAATAATTTTTCTTCCTGACTCCAAATTTTCATACCCAGGGAGCCATGACAATATGGAGCTATTCAGTGAGTTTTCAACTACCCACTCTGGAGACCTGGTCTGGTCTCCGCTCTGCCACAGTTACCCCGTCTTACCCCTTCCATCTTGCTCTGACTATGCAAAACCCTGCCATTGCTTTGGTAGTTCTTCATGATGGTTCTCAGTGATGCAAAGAATAATTATTTAAAAACCTTATGAGGGGGAGGGGTGCCTGAGTGGCTCGGTCGGTTAAGCCTCTGACTTCAGCTTCAGGACTTCTTGGTCCGTGGGTTTGGGCCCCACGTCGGGCTCTGTGCTGACAGCTCAGAGCCTGGAGCCTGGTTCAGATTCTGTGTCCTCCTCTCTCTCTGCCCCTCCCCCACTTGCGCGCTCTTTCTCTCTCTCTCTCTCTCTCTCTCGAAAATAAATAAACATTAAAATTAAAAATAAAACTTCTAGGGATAAGTTAAGAGTAACAGATAAGTTTAAGGAGGGAAGTGTGTTAATGCAGCAGAATGATTAAATGTACATGCTTGGTTGTAGCAGGACTTCTTAACTGTAATGCGGCTGCAGTTTGCCTGGGAACACGGAGGTTCTGATCCAGTGGTTCCGGGCATATAGCCTAATATATTCTGCGTATCCAATGCAGCTCCTAGGTGTTGCTGATGTTGCTGGTCCACAAATCCCACTTTGAGTAGCAAAATTGAGGGCTAAATGTGGTTTGGGGGAGAACTCATACGATTGACCCTTGAACAACAACACGGGGGTTTGGAGCACTGATGTCTCACACAGTCAAAAATCCATCAGTAAGTCCTAACTCCCCCAAAACTTAACTACTAATAGCCACCTGTTGATCGGAAGCCTTATCAATAACATAAACAGTAGATTAACATGGATTTACTATGTTACATGTATTCTATATTGTATTCTTAACAATAAAGTAAGCTAGAAAAAAGAAAATATTCAGAAAATCATAAGGAAGGGAAAATACATTTGCATTACTGAATTTATCAAAAAAAAAAAATCTACGTATATGTGGACCCATGCAGTTCAAACCTACATTGTTCAAGGGTCAGCTGTATGTTAGTGTTCTCAACTTTGAAATGGGTACAATAGTACATGATAAAAACAATAGTTTCTACATAATAACAACAGTGGGTAAACAAAACAGTAGAACACCGTGCACATGGTAGGCGCTCCATAAGTATTTGCTATTAATATTTGTATTAAAGGTCATTGTTGAGACCGAGGAGAACAGAAAATTCAATGTAGGGGGGCTGAAGGAAGACCAAATGGGGAAAGGGATCAAGAGAATAAAAGATGTAAGACAAGAAAAAGTTTTACAAATGTTTCTACTCCCTTTTCAAACATCACAAAGCCTAAAATAGGATTCTCCCTGCAGGTTCAACAGCCTGTAAGCTCTTCCAGTAACGTTTCTTTGGAGAGTAATAGAATCAGGACAGCATTGGTTGCAACAACTGAACTCATCATAATATTTGTCAAAACTTGGAATGGCATCAGAACTCCAGGGAGACATAACAGGGAGAAGTGTGGAGTTTTCTCTGTGAGCCTGAGATTTCCTTTTGCCAAGTTGAGAGTGGAAGTTTGGCTGTTACATGGAGTTCTCCATCTCTCATCACCTTGTGAGAATCGGCTTAACTTTTAAGGCTTTCTAGTGGTTCCCTTTCGGCCTTCCAGGCTCTGTGGCTTTCAGGTGGTGTGATAACCAAAAGGATGGGTAACACGAAGCAATACGAAGCTGCGATGTTAGGGGTAATTAATAAGCATTGCTATTATCAGTACAGCTTCCAACATGGTAACCAGAGCGAGCTATTAAGAGAAAAATACAGTCGGAGCAACAGAGGAAAATAAGGTCTCTGACCAGATCAGTACAAACACATGTGGAATAACTGAGGCGCCAAAGAACTTTCAGACTTTAGATATACATTTTGCCCCAGAGAAAAGTTCTCCCAGGCCAGACTCCTCTGCTGGCCCTCCTTCCTTTTGGCCTCCTTCGCGAAAGCCTGCTCTATATGGCGGGGCTCTCCGTCTGCAAAAGTCGACAACCTGTTCTGTAATTCAGAACAGCTGTGTGCTGCCTTTCCCAAATTCCAGGCTTTGCCCTTTCACTGATTCCAATTAGATAGTTTCTGGGCTATCACACCCATGTGGGCTGGACTGGGAGAGTGTGGAGCAAAACCCCATGGCCCAGGTCAGGAATGAAGGCTCTTAGCTGATGACACACTCTCCCTTGCTAATGCATTTGTAATCAAATTCAACTCGAGGACATCAGGCGCCGCTTGGCAGGTGCGGGCCGGACCACTGCAGATTTCATTCACAGACACGGCCGCATGGATTTTTCTGATTTCTAGCCCCTACAGCCAATCTGTTCTCCCAGGGAGAGACCCCTGGAATTCTGCCATGAGATGAAAAATACCCATATAGCTAAGGCCAAGTCGTATGCCTTTGCTTCCCCCTCACCACCTTAGCGGAGATGGAAAACAGAGCTTTCAAATGAAATGAAAATGATTGAGCCATTGTTGCTGACCGAGATGCGAGAGAACCAACAAGGATTAGAGGAATGGAGTTATTTTTTTCATGGAATCGTGCGGAAGCTAAGGATAGCAAAGACAATAGAATTGGGCAGCAAAGAATCTAAACACGTTGAGCCAAATATCCTATATCAAGAAGAAATTCACATGTAATGACTTCAAAGTGATAGACCCTCAAATTACTTTCCTGAGTTTCCAATTCCAATCGCTGGTCATGAAAAGATGACCCAAAAATCCTAAATTTTGATGTACTGAGTTACCTAAGCAAAAATCACCTCAACTGATGTTAAAGTCATGTTTTACTCGCATTAAAAACAGAGACTAGGGAGGGAAATAACACAGACTGCACTTGCGATAGACAAATTTATTAAGCTATATCAAGAGAGTCATGAGAAGCATGATCTGAACTCAAAAACAAACAAATTATAGACTGGCAGCGTGCTTCAAATGAGCAATTAGTGCATGAATCTTTTGTGCATGACATAATGATTCCTGGTAATGGCAGCCTGATCAGAGGATTCCATAGTGAGTCAAATGGGGAAACTCCCTAGAAAATTGAAGTTGTCTGATAAGACACACCAACTCAGAATCAAGGGCCCATTCCTGAATTCCAGCGAGCCCACCAGAGACTGTTCATAGTTTCTGAATCTATCATTTGTGAGTTAGAGCTTAAGAAAAAAAAAAAAAAAAAAAAAAAAAAAAAAAAAAGGACAGGAATTTTCCTAGGAAACACCCATGAATATTTTCCGTATCTACTCTGGGTCATTTGCACAGAAACTTTTATTTTTGTTGATGGGAATTATTTCCACAGAAATAGGTATAATGGAGGGTAAGCTATTTCTTAGAAGTATTTCATCCATTTAGTAAATATTCAGTGCCCAGAGCATATACTGTTCCAGGCACTGGAGAACAACGATGCAGAGCAGTATTTATCCTTCGAGACCTCTTCTACTTAAATAGATGCACTTCTTATGAAATTTAAATATTATAGGAGTCATTAAGACATAAAAAGTCACAGAATAATGTCAGAAAATCTATGGTTTAAAAAAAATCCTTTGGGACATTATTATAAGCTGTTTGGATCACTGAGTCTTAAAAATAAATCAATAGAGAAAAGTGGACGGCTGCAAAAATTTTCTTTGGAAATTACCAATACTGATGAAATAACGACAGTGGTTATTGATCTCTACGGTACAATACCAATTACAGTTTGTGTCAGTTACACAGATTTTGGCGATGCTGCAAGGCACAAGATACCTGAAATAGAACAGCATAGACTTCCTTTTCTTAAAGGGAGAATACCTTGCTTTGCAAAGCTAATTGAGTGAAAGTTAACAACTCTTTTCAACATATACTTAAAGTTTCTAGGGAGAAAGAGTAAAAAAAAAAGTTGCACCTCATCAAGACCATTTTTTAAATGATTTATGCCCCTTCACAATAAATTTAAAGTCTAATGTATAGATAATTTCTTTAATTAAAGTTAAAAGATGGGATGAGGCAAATCGGATTTGCCCTTTGTCTAACAAAAATAATCTGTTTTCTTTCTTTTTTTTTTTTAGTGGTATGCCAGCTCTCTATATTATTTGCTTCTCCCTTGATTTGTATGTACCTTAACCTTTCAACTTGTTCCAGTTTCCCGTACTGGGAGGTTTAGGGGTATGAAATTAAAATATCAACTCAGAGGTGCCTCTGAGCCATGAGAAACATGGCTTGAAGTCTTGAAATTAAAAACCCAGAGTTTTGGCCTAAATCCCACTTCTGAATTGACATGTGATCTCTGGCAAGTTACCAAATTTCTGGTTCTAAATATATTTAAAACAAAACTCGTTTCACCTGCCTTGGAGAGACATTGGGGAAAACTAATGCTGAAAAGCGTGGCATCTCTCCTGAAGAAGTTCATGCCACTCTGGCAATACCCAAACATTCTGGGCTTGGAAAAGTGACTGTCCTTTAAGGCTGAGCAGAGCTGTTTGGCACTCTAAAGAAAACCACTTGCCTCACATGGATGTTAATGGTTCCATTTGGCATTTTCTCAGGAACAAATTTTTCGTCCCTGGTCAAACTTCTGATATCCATGAGATAACCTTCGGCCCCCTAGAATATTCCCAGAAGATATATATGGCCCACACTTGGAACACTTCTAACACGGCTGCCTTGAAGTCTGAACCCATGAAGCAACAGTGACCCCCAGTGGCCAATGGGGTGATCTTCTTAACCCCGATTTGTGCTCTGAAGAAGAGGTGAATAATTACAGTGGCGTGATTACTGTCCAGTTCATCCTGGTGGCGACTACTAAATAAATCAGTGCTCCTTGATGTGCTTGGTTGTATTTTAACAACAAAGTATAACTATCGCTATAGCAGTGGTAATAATATGTCTATGTTAATTAAATAGGGTGTTTGCTAGGGTTCATTATGATTAGCGTAGAATCAAGAACAAATGGTTTTTGTTGCAGTCCTGTTGTTGAAAACACCCTAGAGTGTGTTAATCCCCTGCTTGGCAACTAAATTGTTTTTAGTTAAGTGATTCCGGCTTAGATAACTGGATTCACATACCCACTCTACCACTTACTAGTTATTTGACCTTAGACATGTCATTTAAGCTTTTTGAGACTATTTCTTTATTTGTAAAATATTTAAAAATGGTAGTTTTGTTATAAGGATCACAGATACTATATATAACATGCCTGGCACGTAACAGGTACTTAATAAATGATAACCATGTTGGTGATGATAGTATAGGAGATCGTGCTGAACGGGTAATGATGCCAGAGCGTTATAAAGTTGTTGAAACGAATTCGTTGCGTACGTACCTTAGGGATGAAGAGTGAAGAGTGGGAAAGGAGTTCCACCTAACTTGTATGTTCTCCCATTTCTTTTCTAGTCTTTGAAGCCATCAAACCATGCTACCATCCAGAGTATAGTGAGAGCTGTGGGCGTCGTTCCTGGAATCCCTGAGCCTTGCTGTGTGCCAGAAAAGATGTCCTCACTCAGTATCTTATTCTTTGATGAGAATAAGAACGTGGTACTTAAAGTGTATCCTAATATGACAGTAGAGTCTTGTGCTTGCAGATAACCTGGCAAAGAACTCATCTGGGTGCTTAATTCAATCATTACTTTATTTAATGGACTCTCCCCCCCCACCCTTGTTTTGCACTGCCAATGCATTTCATCCCAAAAGATCTTTTATAGTCAAAGAGAATAAGCAGACAGACTGACGATTTCCATCAAGGAGAACTGGACTGTGTTTGTCTCTGAATGTAACTAAATGCAAGATTTTCGTAACTATGGACATTTATTTCTTTTTTAAAAAAATTCACAAAGGAAAAATGATCACTCAAACTCTTTTTCAGAGCTATTAGAGGACACACTGATTTATTTTTGTAAGGAGCTTTGAAAATAGGTTGGAAAAACACCAATAGCTTATCATTTATCTCTACTCATAGAGAATAGAAATTTTTCATATTTTGAAGTAGATTTATTGCCATAGATTCTTGAGCGACTCAGCAAGTGCTAAATAACCCAACCAACTTTTTTGTGTATCTTCAAATCTGTTAAGACTCTTGTTTACCTGTGTTTTTCCTCCATGTGTAATTGTATGAATAGGTGAGTGGAGAATGTGGGCTGAGTGTTAAGAGTATATGTATGTGTGTACATTGCCAGGTGCCTGTCCCCTCTCTAGGAAGGTTTGCTTAACATGGTTTTATAGTTCAATCTACACAGGATTCTTTGTGTTTTCCATTTCATGTTCTGGCAAGCACCATTCAATTATAAGAACTTTACCAAAAAGGACAGAGTGATCCAAGAGCATATGCAGAGAGTTACCACTTGGCCCAGCCATTTAATTTGAAATACAGTTGTTTTCATTTCATTGCCTCCTAGAAAAGGGAACCTGCAGCCCACTTTTCAAAAACCCACATGTACTTCCTCTTCTTTTTCACGAATACCTTCATTTGTTCTTTTAAATTGAATTCAAAAATTCAATTAAATTTTTTAAATTAAAAATTTGGGTTCTCTTGATATGCTTTTACTTCTTATGAAGCAATCCATAACTACCTGAGGCTCAAAAACGGATGGAATATTGGAGGTTTCTTGAAATGACCAAATTAATCACCATCACGTGTTGAATATCATTCTTCAGCCACGTCCAGGTCCAGGCACCTTTTCACATGGATCAAGGTTCAGCCATGAAATCTACTTTAGCAAAGCTCACTAAAAATTATTCACCAAAAAAAGGAAGTCAAATATAGACACTTTGTTTTTTTCCCCACTTCCACTTGTCACAACTATCCTCTTACGCCTTGCCCTAGAAAACATGTTTCAAAAATCTCTCTTTCTCCGAATTCGCATGTGTGACAACGATGTTTTCAGACCATGGGTTGTTGTTGATGTCCTATCTGTGGCCAACCCTCCTCTTGGTTGAGTCTCCGCTGATGAGAGACAACTAAGCCATTTCAGAGGCTGTGAAGTATCAGAAGGCGTGGGGTTTTGTTCTGTCTCTACCTATAGCTACCTATCGTGGTTCATCATGTAATAAATATTTATTGAGCATTTATTTTGTAAAAGGCACTGTGTTAACTGTGTGTCTTAGCATCTTCACTGGTAAAATGAAGAGGTTGACTAGTTGAGCCAGAAGAACTTTCTGACCCTAAAAGTTTGGGTTTTAGAATATGAGCTACTTTGTACACATCTTCCTTAAATGGATGATACCAATAGATCTAAAAATACTACAAATATCTCTGTTCATAAACCAAAGGCAAGAACATTCTAGTCTTCAGCCTTTGGGGGTGAGTATGGAATTCCCCGTGGTTTAAGTCATATTTCTAAATTTCTAACTTATTTTTGGAGATCCATTTGAAGATGATTACCATGAAAGAAGCGCTTTGACACTTTTGGAGGACACAGAGGTTGGTGTGAGTATATATGAACTCGATGAATGAGACACACTAGTTAGAACTAATAAATTAAGTTCTGGTGCCTGAGTTACTATGGTTTCTTAGAGTTAATTTTTTTATTCTGGTAGCATAATTTTAAATATTCAAACTGAGATAGGTAAGGGACTTACTCTTAATAAACTTTATCAAAAATTTGAGCGGTGCCTGGGTGGCTCAGTTGGCTAAGTGTCCGACATTGACTCAGGTCATGATCTCATGGTTCGTGAGTTCGAGTCCCACGTCAGGCGCTGTGCTGACAGCTCAGAGCCTGGAGCCTGCTTCAGATTTTGTGTCTCCCTCTCTGCTTTCCCTCTCCCACCCATCTCTCTCCCTCTCTGTCTCTCTTCTTCTCTCTTTCTCTCAAAAATAAACATTTAAAAATAAATAAACAAACAAACTTTATCAAGAATTTGAAAGCAAAACTATGTAATAGAAGTGAGCCAGTGTGTGGCCATCTTATCCTAGTCATACCATCTTTCAATAAAGAAACCTCTTTTTTGTTCGTAGATATGAGGAAATTCTTAATTTAGCTTTTTTCTCTAGAGATATATCAACCAACATCTCTAGCCATTCCCAGCATTACTTTTCAGTCTTCTATCTAGATATCTGTTTGTTACCTTTCTTTTTTTTTTTTTTTAATTTTTTTTTTCAACGTTTATTTATTTTTTGGGACAGAGAGAGACAGAGCATGAATGGGGGAGGGGCAGAGAGAGAGGGAGACACAGAATCGGAAACAGGCTCCAGGCTCTGAGCCATCAGCCCAGAGCCTGACGCGGCGCTCGAACTCACGGACCGTGAGATCGTGGCCTGGCTGAAGTCGGACGCTTAACCGACTGCGCCACCCAGTCCTGCGCCCCTGTTTGTTACCTTTCTTAATTTTAACTGATGCCTACTTACTACAGATTAAATCCTACAATGGCCAGGAAAGTCTCTCAATAATAAAACTTTCTGAGTAATAACTAAGATTTTATTTTAATTAGCAACTTATATAACAAAATTGCAACACAATGAATCATCTTGGGAGTCTCTTAGCAATCAAAATATTTTTTGACCAGTCCTTATGGCTGTGTGGCCTCATAACCATCATTTCACTACCACACTGAGGACATAAACAGGGAAAGTTTTATTCCCCCAAAATAAAGGAAGATTTCTTTTCAGTCGAGGGGGTTGAAATAAATGAAATGATATTTCAACTAACAAAAATTTACTTGAAATAGTTGGAAAATTAAGCGACTATTTCACAATTTCTTAGGTACTGGTATATGCATAATTTGTATATAGACTTTTTATAAATCTCCTGATATAAAAATGGCAATGGTGTAAGAAAAGAAATTATGTTTAGAAATGCCATTTCCTAAATCATGCATCTTTGCCTATCTCTCCCTCTTCTCTCCTGTTCCCCGCTTCTCTTTCCAAACTGACATTCCACCCCCACTCCTAGATGTCACACACACACACACACACACACACACACACACAGAGTCACTTAAAAACGAAATTTTTTTCAATAACTGTTCTCTTGAACTCAAATTCAGGGGCTGCTGATGTCAATATAGTATTTTCAAAGTATCTTATTGTAAGCTGTGTAGATAATGTATACAATTTACAGGATTTGGGGTTGTGGAATTTAAACTTGAAGGTTGGACTCCCCAGATGTCAGGACTGTAATACTCCAGATACATTTTTACATTCACCTAGCTATATATTAACTGATGATCATTTATTCACTTAACATAGATGTTTTTATTTCTGAAAAAAAAAGCCTCTTGTCGCCTGTTTAATATTTTTATAGACAATTCTATGTGTATAATACAATTATCAGTCTCCCATAATTTCTTTCTATAATTACATTATTCAGTTTAGTCTTTCTCCTTTCACTTTTCTCTGCGCTAACAAATAACTAGTATCTGGATATTGACTTCTTGTTGAATCAAGGTTGGTTTAAAGAATAGCTATGCACGCCTGATGTATAAGATTACGTCTAAAATTAAATAAGAAATGTGGGATAAATCTGACTGCTCTGTATAGCTTTTTTTCCCCTGGAGAATTGTATTTTAATGTAGTATATAGGCGATTAAATGACCACCCCTTTTCTAAAAACCAAGCCTTCTTTTCAGCTTTTCACACTAGTTTCTGTAAATGTCTTAGTCCAGAATTTAATGCTTGTACAGTTAATGGCGATTTAAAATATATATTATATATATATATATATATGGAAAACTTTAAAGATGCTTTTAATTTATTTAATGACTGTTGTCTTTCTATAATGGTAATTTTCATCCTTAAATGGTGAGAAAAATTCTTTTTACTATAGTTATTACATGCAAAATGAAATTTGGTTCTTTAGTCAAATCCACTAAAGGGGCACATTGCAGTGAAACTGTGCAGAGCACTTCACTACTGATGTATAAGCTTTGCTGACTTTGTATCATTTTCTTCCAGTAATGGAGAGCTTTTCATTATACAGTATGAAAATAAAAATTACTTAATTGAATGTTTCCCCATTCTTTTCTACTACAATTGGAAAAGACTGCATTTGTAAAACTTTTTCAACTGTGCTGCATTTGAAAAGAGGTTATAAAGGTTGGGCACAGACTTAAATATTTACAAATGGTGCCATGAATGGTCAACAAAGCATGATTACATTGTGGAACAATACAGAAACACACCCGGGAGGTGAAAACATGTCTTCCAAACTGGAGTAACTCAATTTGAATTCTTTTGTGTTTGGTTTTATATTTCTTCTTTAACCACAAAGTCCCCATTTCTTCATTGGAGATATTTTTTCTGGGTGCCTGATCCCCTGGTATTTCATCATTTATTATCACCATGTTCTAGGTACATTTTGGGATGATGAGTATTTAAATTAATTAATCTGATCATCAAACTATATTGCATTATTTTTGTGTACGTACTAGCTTTGTCTTTAAGAAGAAGAATGACCTGAGGTCAAGAAGTAAAATATATTTTCATATTATTTTCACTCACTTAATGTATATCATATTTATTCAGACTGTGATATTTAACTAAAATCTATAGCATTTTGGGATTATAAGGCACTTTAGAGGTCATGTTGAGCAAATTTCTTAACCTATCTGAGCCCCATTTAACTTATCTATGGGGCACCTGGGTCGCTCAGAGG